GGACAAGTCACTCAATAACTCTCGGCCTCAGTTTCTTAATCTGGTAAAATAAAGGGTTTAGACTAGATGCTTTCAAAGGTCCCTTCCAGTTCTAAAGTCTATTGTCCCTTAAATATTTCATAGAGGATTGATCCAATGCACTGAATGCCTTCCTCTAAGGCAGGGGTTCTTACCTTAGTGTCTCTGAATTCTCTCTCTGTCTTTCTCTGTCTCTCTGTCTGGTCAGTCTCTCTCTGTGTCTGTCTCTACACACACACACACACACACACACACACACACACAGATAATTGGTGTCCTCTGGTGTCTAATTTTGTTCATTTAACAACATTATCGATAAGCTTTACCAGATTGCCAAAGGGGTTCATAGCACAAAAAAGATTAAGAAGCCCTGCTCTAAGGTAACTGTGAAGGGCTCTTCATCGCTCTTGCTATATGACTAATCCATGTAACTTTTATGATCACTGGGTCACACATTTATTTCTTAGATTATATCTCTTTTCTTGTCTCTTTTTGCACACAAATGTGTGAGGTTTTTTAATCTCATAACACAAGAGACACACATAAATACAAAGTGTTTTGTATTCTGTAAGCTGATTAAACCCTCTGTTGAACCCTTGGTATCAGAACTGAAGCAGCCTTGCCTTTGGCTTCATGTCACATGCTTTCTGAAGAGCTGGAAGAAACTGTGGTCCTCCTCTCCTAGAACTACATCCTGATATGCAACTCTGGTGTGCTTAAGGTTTAATTTGCACCCAGTTCCACTTAAAACTGGCTGCTGAAACTCTCCAGAAAACTTGCTGATGTGGCATAGTGATAACAACATTTACCTCATCCTGGTTAATTTTTAGAAACTGCCCTCCTTTAAATCTAATCCCCCTCTATCCCCAGAAACTGAAGTGGTGCAAGAGGGATTATATGGACTAATGGTTCATGTTCCCTGGTGCCATAGCCCTACCAATAATGTGACAGATGCCAGAGGAAACCCTTTGTTTGAAAACTCCTAGGTAAACCCAGGCTCCTAATGACTGCGTGTCCTCAACTGGAAATACATCCCATTCTGCCATCTAGTCAGTTCAAGACAGCAAACATTTATTAAGCACCTACTATTTTCCAGGCACTGTGCCAAGTTCTGGATTTGTCCAAGGCCACAAGTGGTAGAGATTGGATTTAGACCCAGGTCCTATGACTATAAATATTGTGTCATCTTTTCACTATTACACACCAAGAAAATGCTAATCGGTATCACTAAAGTATGACAAATGCAATTTAGCCACTTCCCTAGCATGCCGGAACTCAATGGTTGAATGAAGCTTTGGGAAAAAATGAAATGTATTCATTCAACCTTACCTCTTCTCTCCACCCTATCCCCCAACAGCAAAAAAATATTACATTGAGAAAAATACTTCTAGATTTTAGCTGACAATGATTCATTTGTATTAAGATTCTCTCCCCGATGGAGACCATAATATAGCTATGCCTTAGCAAGGTAGTTTGTAAAATATACTTTTACCTGTGGCCAGTAAAATATGTGTGCCTATGTATACATACATAAACACACACACATATACAATAATTATTTGTTTGAATGTATATACATACATATATGTATGTGTGTGTGCACATGTACATATAAGCATATGTCTTTACAGACACATACATACACACATATATCACCTACTGAAGGTTTGTAGAGCTAATGGAGATGAGTTTCTCTCTGAACTTAGATTGATCCTTGAATAACAGTCACTAGGCCTATATATGAGACTTTTCAGTTTAATAGAACCATCACAGCTTTTGTCTACTGGCATAGGCTTTAAGGAGCCAGGGTCTCCTCAATACCATGATAATATATTGGTGTAAGATATTACTGAAGAGGGAAGCTAGGTGGTGCAGTAGATAGAGTGCTGGGTCTGGAGTCAGGAAGACTCATTTTCCTGAGTTCAAATCTGACCTCAAAACTTATTAGCTGTGTGACCCTGGGCAAATTACCCAACCCTGTTTGCCTCAATTTCCTCATGTGTAAAATAAACTGGAGAAAGGAATGGCAAACCATTCCAGTATCTTTGCCAAGAAAACCCCAAATGGGGTCATGAAGTTTTGGACACAACAGAACAACAATGAACAGAAAAAAAGACATGTATATACATATACATACATACATACATACATACATACATACATATACATATATATATACATATATATATGTGTGTATATATATATATATATGTGTATATATATATATATATATATATATATATATAATATATATAAAATTATAAAGAACCTTACTTTCAAGTTCTGAAATGGCATGACCTCTTCGAAAGCTGTAATTCTTCAGCCAAACTGGACTAACAGTCATTCCCCAATCCTGGCCTGCCTTCTTCCACTTCCATGCATTATCTATCTTTGGAAAAGACTCCCATCACATCTGTCTTATAGAAAGATATCCATTCCTTCAAGGAGTGGCTTCAGATACCAACTCTTCTGTAAGTCCTTCCCTGATTCCCAAAGCTGGGGGAGAGCTATGCCTCCTCATCTCACATCTGTATTTGGTGTTTCTTTATGCTTGCAAAAAGTTAAGTCTAAGTCTTAATTTAGACTTGTATTCCATATTTAATACCCTACTAAATTATAAACTCCATAAAGGCAGGAACTATTTCATCTTTCATTGTTGTATCTCTAGTACACAGGGCAAAGAGTATAAATTTGTTCACCTGTGAAATGAATGTTGTGGGTTAGAATAGCTAACCTCTAAGTCTCTTCTAGATCTAAATTTATATTCCTGTGATCCTAAGAACCACATAATAGATGTTTAATAAATACTCACTGGATCGAATCATCTCATAAAATAGATATAAATATGCACAGTTTATAGTTTTATAATTTTAGGTAATCCACATTTTGAAAACCATAACACAACAGTCATTTACAAATTCTTAAATACGGGCCATTTTCAACTTATGAACAGGCTGTGCTCTAGGCACATTTCTAAGTTAGCTGTTTTGATCTCTTCATGACTTTTCTCTCAGAAACAATGCTATTAATGACACAGCTTCCTGAGTCAGTACTTACCACTAAATAACTTAATCACTATTTACAACAATGTTTCTATGGGAAGCCTTCACTAAAAGCCTCCTCCAATTCTTCATCAGGGTATGGATGTGGGTCTGTATCCTCTAAGACTATGCCAATGAAATGCAAGCTTCATCAACTTCCATCAATCTGGAAGTGTTTTAAGCATAGAACCAGTAATGGGCTGCATGTCTGTTGTTACCGAACAAGCCCAGGTTTAAAGACACTCCTCACTAGGCTGATGAAGACTTCTGCCACAGAAACTCAGAAAGACATTTCCTCTTCTCAAGTCCTATAATCTCCCATTCTCTGTGATTTTTCAAAAATCACTGGCAGTGGCTCACCTACATATATCATTTTTTCCCATTGTCTAGAATGTAGCTCATCTGGAGCTAACTTACCAAGAGCATTTATATGTTCTTTTAAAATGGCCTTACTTGTCTAAGGAATCATCTCCCTATTAGTCATTTTTGTTTTGTCCTTACCAGTTCAGAGATTATTTTCCTGAGCAGAGAAAACAGAAACAAAATACGAATGGAGTGTTCTATTGTTTCTATTACTAATTAGCGTTGTCTCATTCATCATGAAAATTGGGCCTTTCTCTTTTTCAATTCTTCTGTCTTCTAAACAAATCCAAGGACTATTGCATTCATTTCTGGGTACCACAGTTCAAGAGGGACATTTATAATGTTATTTTTTTTGGTAAATTACTTATTTACTTATTTTTAGTTTTCTGATAATTTGGATAGTATCTAGAGAGTGACCAGCAAAAAGAGCTGTGAGTCCATGTCTTATGAGCACCAATCAAAAGAATTAGGATTATTTAGCCTGAAGAAAATGCTCAAGGGGAACATGGGAGTCACTTTTAAGTAACTGAAAGACTATCATGTGGAAGAGGGACTAGATTTGTTCTGTTTGGTCCCAAAAGGTAGAAACAGTAGGAATGACTTAGCTATATTTTAGTCGTGTCCAACTCTTTGTGACCCCATTTGGAGTTTTCTTGGCAAAGATACTGTAGTAGTTTACCATTTCCTTCTCCATCTCATTTTACATACGAGGGAACTGAGGCAAAGAAGATTAAATGTCTTGCCCAGGGTCACACGGCTAGCAAGTGTCTGAGGCGAAATTTGAACTCTGGATGATGTGTCTTCCTGACTCCAGGTTGTGCACTCTATGCACTGTGTTACCCACCTGCCATAGTATGAATGAATGGAAGAGGCAAATTTAGACTTGATTTTAGTAAAAGTTTCCTAACAACTAATGTGATCCAAAAGTGAAATGGGCTGTCTAGGGAGGTGATGGCTTCTTCCTTCTTTGGGGTCTTCAAGCAAATACTGAATTATCATTCATCAAGTATGTTGTAGTGGCTATACCTTTTTCATTTCTGAGTTAGGCTATGGCCATCAGGGTCCCTTTCAATTTCCAACTTCTGAAATTCTGGAATCTGTGTTTCAGTATTATTTTTATGCAAAATTCTGGAGTTACACCTGCATATTCTATTTAAATACTTGTTTGTTTGTTTTTAATGCTGTTGTCATTTCCCAATAACAACCCCGACCCAACACACAGAATTCTCCAGTGTAAGAAAGTAGCATATTTTTGCAATACAAACATACTGGCCATGCCTAACAAAAAATGCCCAGTTCTACATCTATGATTCACCACTAACATTTTTAGTTTTGGAGGATACTCAAAATTTCTAGCTGATTTATAACTATTATTAAACCATAATACCCTCTTCTTGTACCTCAATTAATCTTAGACTTTTTTTCTTTACAGAAAAAAGCCAGAAGGCTTAACACTTAAAAACTAATTAACATGTTCATTCTATGCTAGGTCTCCTAACTTCAGTTCCCTGCCAGAATAAGTAGCATATCCCCAAGCAAATGAAAACCTAATGAATTTCAGATTAACTCTCCACTTACCGGGCATTAGAAATACAGTCACAATTTGATGGCTGACGGAGTAATTCTCCTTCCTTCTGATTCGCAGACTTCAAGTAACAGGATCGAATTTCCCCTTTAAAAAACATCAAAATATACAATGCAAAATTACATATGCATGTGTATATAAATTGCTCTTTCTTTTTTTTTAATTATAGGGAAAACATTTAAAATTATTATCCAATGAGTATTAAAGATGGCAGCTGGGGTACATTTCTTAAATCTTCCTAAAGAAGAGATGCACGTCACAGTAGACTATAAAGTTTAGAAGATCTGTTAATAAAGAAATGTTCTTGCCTCTCTGAAAATTTACTTCTACGATAAGAAATCTAAGTAAATATTCAATCTTACAATTTGTATTTAAACTGAAATTACCCTATTCTTTTTCTATATGTATTCTACATAATAGTGTCAGTATCATACTAGATTACATACAGCACCAAGAACCATGTACACATGAAAGCTTGCTAATTTTAAAAAAATTAATTGAAAGTATTTCCACAAAAATATATAGAAATGGGATAGTGTCATAATCTGATTGGTTTATATTCTTTGCTAATAATGATAATAGAAGAATGGAACTCTAAGGTCATCTATACATTTTACTCACAAGGGTATCAGGGATTGATGTGTTCCAGACAAACAAAATCAGATCACTTTTTGTATGTAAAATGTCTCAGAGTGTTTTATTAAAGAAGTAAGAAAATGATCCATGAGTAACTTATGTAACTGAAATGTGGTAAATGGTACATGTCTTTATAATGTCAGGGATAAATCTCATGAAGACAGGCACCCTACAGAACTGGTGATATATGTCAGTACTCATGGAGTGTTTTGATATGACTTCTGAGGTGATTTCTTTAAGCATGTAGGCCAAAGTCACTTCCCTAAGCTTTCTATAATCAAAGGTTCCATCAAGATGGTAGCCCAAATGCATCTGTTGACTTGAGGTGGAAGAAAAGAAGCAAGGGGGAAGTATGTGACTTTGAACTTGCCACTTGACCACCTTGTAAACACCCTAGGGCTTCAGTTTCATCATCTTTAAAATGACAGGTTTGTACTAGATGATCTCTAAACCACTTTTCAGACCTCACAGTCTATGGTTCTAAGTATATGCTCATTTTCAGGACTATCTATTGTATCTAGGCACTAGAATGTGACAGATAACTTCATCAGTCAATGGAATTTCTGGTAGAATCATAGAGTTGTAATGCCATACTTTTGGCTTACTGTATCTGTCCATGAAAAATCTAGGAAAGGGTAGGGGGAAGAAGCAGTGACCTTGCCTCCTGGTCTTAAGATTATTCATCTGCCTTTGCTTCCCCAGCTATTCTTAATGGAAAAATAGAAGAGACTTAGGGTTTGAAAGCTGGAGAACATCAACCCTCAGAGCTGTTTGTAGTCCGTATGACTACAAGATAATATATTTGGATCTTGGAGGGAATTTAGAGACCATCAAGTTTAACCCCATCACTTTAAAGATGAAAGATCTGAAACAGAGTGAATAAGTGACTTGCCTAGGGTCACAAAGCTAAAGTGAGATTTGAAGTTAAGTCTTTTTGACTCAAAGTCTAATCATTTCCTAATTTATAATCTATCCTTCAGAAATTAAAACTGAAAAGTATATGAAATGCTTACTATAAACTAGGATGAAATCTCTCACAGAGTGACCCAAGTCCCTGCATTAAGGAGAGAAGTCCAAAGAAAAGACTTGAACCTGAGGGCATTAGTTATCTGGGAAGATCCTCCTCTTTGGTCTAAAATGCCATATGCCTGAGGCTGAGTATTTCCTACAGAGGCAGCAAAAGGCTTCCATAGCTTTCAACCAGACTCTGAGGGGACAGGACAGGAGAATATAAAACTCTAGCAAGGGAACACTTTTTTTTTTTGCCAGTCCCAGGCCAGTATTCCTACCCTTGCTTAAAAACGTTAAAAAAAAGTTTAAATTGAAGAATAATGACAGTACCCATTCTTTCTTTGATTAAAAGAAACCCAAGAATTAAAGATCTCAGCTAAGCCAAAAAATGGAGGCATCAGAGAATCCATCAGAGCAGTGTCTAGCAAAGATTATCGTTAGAGCAAAGCAGCTTCTGACATAGCAATGGCACAGATCCTTGGTCTAGCCAAAACAGTATAAAAAGAGACAGAGTTTTGTCTAAGATCACACAGCCACTAAGAAGCAAAGACAGGGTTTGAAGGCAGGTCTACAAGTCAGCAACACATATAGAGTGGTTGCTCTGTACAAATCATAACAGAGCTAGTAAGAGAACTGAGGCCTATCACCCCCATATCCCAGTTAATATTTGCTCTATGTGACTATGAATTTTCTTTTAGAAAACTTAGAGACCTTCCTTAATGGAATATTAGCAACAATTGCAGAGACTTACCATGTTCATCAATGAAAACGTGCATAGCATCTACAGGTATCTCATCTTGTAGAGATGTCTCAGGCCCACTTATAACTTGCAAGACAGAACTATCTTGCTGGGAAGTAACCCGGTAGATTATTTGTCTTTGTCTATTGCCCTGGAAACTTGACACATAAAAATTTTAAAACTACCATTAGGAGGTTCTTCAATAATAAACACATACACGTGCGCACACACATACACACACACACACACACACACACACACACACACACACACACCCACCACCACCATCAATAACAACAACAACAACAACAAAGAATGTGATTGTAAATCAGATAGATTAGGTCTCATATTCTGTGAGCTCTTTAATTAGGAAAACAAAAATGAGTTAGTTGTTCTTACAGTGTAGTAATCTTGGTGGGTTCAGTAAGCACAGGACTAGCACTAGTATGGTCTTGGCTTTGTACATCTGCTTTTCCTTGTTTAGAAATATTCTCACTGGGTTTTTCATTTTCCATAATTTCTTCCTTTTTCTCCAAAGGGTGGTTATCTGAAAAAACATTCCTCTGAGTGTTAAGATAAAGAATTTGAATATATCTTGGGTTAAGCCCAAAGGTATTAGCAGGATAGAAAAGTAAAATGTTTAATAAATAAAACCAGATCTGAAGTCCCAGTTTATAAACTCTCCTGACAAACTAGGGTAAAAATCCAATAACACCCTTTCCCTTACCTCTCTATCCACTCCCTTCCACTTTACCCATACATATCTGTCAGGAACTTTAACTCTTCCATTCTCTCCAAAAGATTCCATTCATCCTTCAATCAATACATATTTATTGTGAACCTAACTATGTACAGGGTAGTGTGCATAGTAGATCTCTGTTCAGGTCCTATTTCCAAATATGTGACATGAACAAGTAACTTCTCTCAGAGCCCAGGTAACTCTCTAAGACTATAATTTGTATATGAGTAGAGTTAGGGTCTGTATCAGTGTCTCATAACATCAGTAGTTTTCCCTGCACTGATGAAGTCACAGGTGGCAGCCAAAAACAAAGTAAGTGAAGAAGGAAAGGGAGAGGGAGAGGGAGTAAGAGAAGTTGAGAGAGAGAGAGAGAGAGAGAGAGAGAGAGAGAGAGAGAGAGAGAGAGAGAAGAGAGAGAGAGAGAGAGAACACTTTAGGACTTTAGGTTGGGTACCTGCTTTCAAGAATCTTAGAATTTAGATGGGGAGCCAAAGCAGTCGTATTAAAAGAAATAAATAAAAGGTCACTACAGCAACACATTATCTTCATTCTACCAGGGATCCTGTTCTACAGTATCATCATTCAAAAAGTCATAATGATATAGTGGAAAAAGCACTAAATTGGGAGTTTAGGGACCTGGCTCAAGGGCTCTATTTTTTACTCTTATGATCCTTGCATTCAATTCATGACCTCTCAACCTCAGTTTCCTAAGCTATAAAATGGGGATAACAATATCTGCCTATTTAAATGACAGGATTGTTGTGAGGACCAAATGGGGATAACGTATGTAAAAACACTAGGAAATTTAAAGCCCTAAAGCACGCAAGTCTAAGATTTTCTTCTTATTGAATGAGCTCTTGACATCCTACCAGCTAACACTCACACCAGAACACACAAACCATGCTAAATTATCTTCAGTGGCTCATTTTGAATTATTTAAATATCAGAATTTGAGGGTTGGAAGAGAACTCAGAGGCCTTTAGTCCAATGCATACACAAAAAGAAATTTTCTATAACACAGCTGACAAGTGGTTATTGAGCTTTTGTCTGAAGACCACCAAGGTGTGAGAATCCATTGCCACTCTAGGCAGACAATTCCACTTTGAAAAGCTCTAATTATTTAGAAGTTTCTCCTAATATCTTCTCTAAGTTTGCATCATTGCAATTTCCACTCACTCCTTTGGGGTTCTACCCTTTTGGCCCCAAATAGAACAAGTTTAGTGCCTTTTCTACATGGTAGCCCTACAGATACTTGAAGACAGTTATAATGTCCCCCTAGAGCCTCCTTTACTACAGGCTAACTTGAGTTCCTTCAACAGACTTCAGATGACATGGACTCACAGCTCTTGACCATCCTTGTAGTCTTACTCTAGACACTTTCCAACTTAACAATTGTCATTCATAAACCATGATATACAGAACTGAACAGAATATTCCAGATGAAGTCAGACCAAGATAGGGAAAAAAAGAACTATCTCCTCATTAAATGTGGAAACTATTCCCTTTTAATGTGCCCAAGAGCACATTAAGACAGTTAAGTGGTACAGGGGATAGAGCACTGGGCACGGAGTCAGGAGTACCTGAGTTCAAATTTGGCCTCAGACACTTACTAATTGTGTGACCCTGGGCAAGTCACTTAACCCTGCTTTCCTCAGTTCCTCATCTGTAAAATGAGCTGGAGAAGGAAATGGCAAACTACTCCAGTATCTCCGCCAAGAAAACCCCATGACCCAATGGAGAATAGTATAGGACTGAAATGACTCAATGACAACAAAGATTATTAAGTTATATTAGCTTTTTTGATTACTACAACACACTGCTGAATTAATTAGTTGCTTCATTATAAGTAGATCTCAGCAAAAAATAAGTTTGTCTCTCAAGTAGAATACTTACCTTTCAACAAATGTATGTATTTAGTATTTTAAGTATTTTTTAAAACGTCAGAGTGAAATGCTTCATTTGTTCTAGGCAATGAAATGTAGGAACTGGTACATGTTGCCTATATATCAATAATAAATCCTATGCAGGAAGACACACTTCATAATTGGTGCTATATATTAGCTGTTGTGGTATATTTTGATATGAACTATGAAATGGTTTTTGAATTATATAAACCAGAGTCATCTGAGGTTCCATGAAGAAGGTAGCACAAATAGATTTGTTGGCTAGTAAGGGGTGAGAAAGAAGGAAGGGGAAAGTATACGACTTTGAGCTTGCCACTTGACCACTCTCTAGGCTCCGTGGGTCTTCACCTTCATCATTTGTAAGACCCATGATTCTAACAAGGGATCTATAGATAAGTTAACAGATATCTTAGAATGTAAATTTTGTTATGCATGATGTGTTAAGCTATAGGGCTTACAAGGAAGTATAGTAATAAGTCTCTGTGCTCAACACATTTGTCATGTAGATAATGATAAGGCTAATATTCCACAGACCTTATAGCAACCTTAGGCTCCTCTTCAAATATGAGATCGAAGCAAAAGGTTTGGTGTACCATGGCTTCATAGAATAATTGAGCTATTATTACTTGAGGTAATAAGCTTTTAGTGACATGTTCTTTACCCTTCTGCTGATGGAATCCTAGTAATCATTTTCAAGAGGAACAGAAACAGTAAAGGGCTTACATGATCACTGATAACAGTATTCACTAATCCCCTGGGTAGATGACAAAGTGGTCCCTTGGGTAAATTAGTTCTTGGCATTGTTGGCCTGTGAGGCTGGGAGAAGAGAATTGCCAAATATTTGACATTTGGGTTAATTAATCAATCAAATAACATTTATTAAGAATATACTATGTGCCAAGCGGTCTGATAGGCAATGAGGATATAAAGATAAAAGTGGAATAGTCTAACAATTGCTACTCTCAAAGAGCTTAAATTCTACTAGGGTAGACAACGTGTGTGTGTGTATATGCATGCAAGTATGTGTATTTGTGTATATCATTTATATAAAAGTATATATGTGTGTGTGTGTATATATACATATATGTATATGTGTGTGTATATATGTATATATAGTATATGTGTGTGTGTATATATATGTATATATATGTGTGTGTATATATGTATGTGTGTGTGTGTATGTGTGTGTATATATATATATATGTGTATATATATATATATATATATATATATATATATATATATATTATATATATATATATATGGTTGCATGTACAAAAATCAATACAAGGTGGTTTTGGGAGGGAGAGAACTAGTAATTAGGGTTACCAGGAAACACTGTATCTTAAGGTGGTATTTGAGTTTAGTTGCAAAGGAAATAATGGATTCTATGATGCAGAAGAGAGCAAGAAACCCATTCCAGGCTTGAGAATGAACTATGCCATACTTGAGAAAAGTCAATGAGAACAGAATGGGTGGACCATAACATTCAGGAAGGGGAGGAATATATAATGAGGCTGGAAAGGTAAGTTGGAGGCAGGTTATGATGGACTTTAAATTCGAAAAAAAGAAGTTTACATTTGATCTTACAAGCAATAGGAAGCCATTAGATTTTTTTCAAGTAGGATAGTGACATGGTTGGCAGCTAGGCAGTGCAGTGGATAGAGTGCTGAGCTGAAGTCTGGGAGACTCATCTTTCTGCGTTCAAATCTGGCCTCACTTACTAGTCATGTTACCCTGGGCAAGACATTTAACCCTGTTTGCCTCAGTTTTCTTATCTGTAAGATGAGTTGGAGAATGAAATGGCAAACCACTCCAATATCTTTGTCAAGAAAACCCCAAATAGGGTCATGAGTGTCAGATATGACTGAAATGACTGAACAACAACAAGGTGATATAATCGACCCTACACTTAAGGAAAATACTTTTGACATCTGTGTTAAGGATTGATTGGGGTAGAGAAAAAAAATTGAGGCAAGGAGATCAATTAGTTGGTCACTGCAATAGTTCAAATGATGGGATGATAAGACCTAAACCAAGGTGGTGACTGTGTGAACAGTGAGGAAGGAACATGTGCAAGGCATACTGTGGAAGTACAAACAATGAGATTTGGCAATTTATTGGCTAAGTGTGGTGATGGAGAGTGAAATGCTCTAGATAACCTACTAATTTCCCATGAAGTATCCTGCCACTCTTCTTCATTCACACACAAAGATGGTTATACCCTTGATCTTGCCATCACTTACAAACGTACCACCTCCACATTCAAGAATACCTGAATCTCTTTATCTGACCATAATCTTCTGGTTTTTCATCTCTCCCTCTGCCTTACCTCACATAATCCCACATTTTATATACACCATGACATCCCTAAACCCCTCAGTTCTCTCCCAGACCATCTCCCCTGCAATAGCTACTCTCTCCTCATTTCCTCATCTTGACCCCCTTGATGAATCAATTTAACTATAAAATGTTCCTGAATCACTAGCCCCCTTATCATTTTGCCAATTATGCCACAGCTTTATATCACTCCCACCATTTGTCACTTTCCCTCCTATGTGTGTTGCTGAACAAAAGTGGAGAAAATCATAAAACCTTTCTGACTGGGTCTACTACAAATTTATATTACACAACCTCAAATGGGCATTCCTTCTATACCGGCCAAATTAATTCACTTTCCCACTCCACAGTAGCTCTTCCAACCTTTTCATCTCTCTTCAAACTTCACAAGGTTCATCCTTCCCCTACTCTCTCCCCTGAGAAATTTGTCCCATATTTTATAGGAAAAAATCGAGGCCATTCACCATGAGCTCCTTCTTCTCTCTTTCTCATCTCATATCACTCATTTGCCTTCTGTCATTTTCTCCTATTTCACCCCTGTGTCAAACGATGGCCTTACTCCTT